CTAACCATAAGGCACTTATATTTGATACCTAGATAAGGAGATAGAAAATGTATACAAAGTTATTCTGGGCTGGGGTGGGAGAAGAGCCATCAGAAAAGGCCTCCCTGTAGGAGGTGTCACTGAGCATTTAGGTGGAGGTAGGAAGGAGGATAGCATTTTCAGGGGTCTGGTGGGGTCAGCAGGGTGATGGGAGGTAGACAGTTTGGCTGGAAGATCCAAGGTACGTGTAAGGTATAAGAAGACTGGAAAGGTAGGAGGGAGCAGGTGATGAAGGGCTTTGAATGTCAAACTGAGTACTTTGTAGGCAAACCTGGTGGCAAGAGAGTCACTGGAGTTTATGGGGGAGGGGGGCATGGCTGAAACTGCACTTCTGAGAGATCCCTTTAGTGGCTGAAGGATGGACTGGACCTGGGAGGGAGACTTGAGGCAGGCAGCCCCCGGCCCTCCCCCCCCCCCCCCCCCCGCCCGGCAGTTATTGCAGTAGTCCAGATACGAGATGGGGGGGCCTGGATGGTGTCAGAGGAGAGGGGAGGGCGTATATGGAAGATGTTGCAAAGAGGCGGAGCGCAGAGGCAGCCAACAGTGTGGGTGTAAGGGAGGATGTGAGGGTGGGTGCCTTCCTCTAAACCCTCGACCTGACTCCGGCCACTCTGAGTTTCTTCCTGGATTCCGCATTCCCCCCCCCCCCATAGCAGAGCTCTTCCTGCTGAATTCCGAGGGCCGCAGCTCCCGGCGCCTGCGCCTGCGCGCACGCACGCGCACCAGCATACGCGGGGAGAAGGGAGGGGCTGGGCCGATGCGGAGGAAGCCGCCCCGCGACCCGGGACCACGCAGAGGGGCCCAAGCGGTCAAGCGATCCGTGCGCCCGAGACCCAGCCCCTCACGACCCCCAAGCCCTGTAGCCCCCGCCCCGGGCAGCCACTCACCCGAGCCGAGCCCCGGGAGAGAACGCGATGGCTCCGGCGGAGCGAGCAGCCTCCGGCCCCTGGCGGGGGAGCTTCCGCCGCCGCCGCTCTAGAACGCGCGGAGGACCGGGCGTCTCGATGGTTCCCCGGGCGCGCTCGCCCCCGCCTTCCTCCCCCGGCGGGGGCCGAGGGTTCTGGCCCGCGACGAAGGCGCGTCCCGGGGCGGGTGGGCAGTGAACCTCAGGCCCGGAGCACTGCTTACGACGCCAGATATGGCCTCAGGGCGACCCCCCCTTCCCCCCGCTGGTTCCGGGTATAGAGAGGGGTCCAAACCCAAGGAGCATCAATAACATTTATTAAAATAAGAATAGCTTACATTTATATGCTATTTAAGGCATCAAGGTGCTTACTGGGACGCTTTCTCATTGGAGTCTCATAACAAACCTGAGGTAGGTACTACAGGTATTATCCCCATTTGTGAGAGTGTCTGAGGCTCAGAGATGAAACCACTCGTCCATCCAGAGACCATTCAATAATAATAATAATAATAATATAATAATAACAATAACAGCTAACGTTATATAAAGCGCTTTACATATATTATCGCAGTTGATCCTCACAACTCTTATCCCCATTTTACAGATGAGGAAATTAAGGCTGAGGTTAAGTGACCCTTGGTTAGGGTCACACAGCTGGTAAGTGTCTAAGGCTAGATCCAAACTTGGGTCTTCCTGAGGCCAAGGTCAGCACTCCACCTACCTGCTGCCAAGGGACACCTACTCAAGGTCTGCTATTTGCACAGCACTTTTAGTCACTGAGGATCGAAGAAAGGCAGGCAAAGGCCTAGCTCCCGAGAAGGGAAGAAAGGCAAGAGGTTAAGGTCAGGATTCAAACCCGGATCTCCTGACTCCCCAAGTATTATTTTTGTAACTTTTTTTCAATTAGCAAAAATGTTTTCTATCCCTCTCCCCCATTAATAAAGAAAACCCAACCCCTTGTAACAAATATGCATAGTCAAACAAAACAAATTCCCATTGGCCATGTTCAAAAACTCCATGGCTCATTCTGCAGTGTTAGGTCTGTCACCCAGCTGTCTTGTGCACCATAACCACTGCCACGTTCCAGTTCCCCAACCCCCCTCAAGTCAGCTAGCCTCTGGCTACTCTTGGAGGAGGGGGGAGGGCTGGGTTTCCCCTCCCTCCTGGAGTCACTATGAACACTGGAGTTGGCAATTAGTAGCACAGAGCATGCTACACTTTTGGCTAAGCCATGCTATCTCCAGCTGGTAACAGATTCTAAATCTCCACATTCACCGTGTCACTTTGGACAAGTGCTATTTCTGTGCTAGATCCAAGTTTCTGCCTCTAAAATAAGGGGGTCAGCCTAGATGATCCCTAGGCTTTCTTCAGCTCTAGAATCATAGGCCTATTACTTGTAGACCCAAGGAGGGCCACAAAGATGAGCACACACCTGTGTAGAGCCATTTGGAGGGGCTATCTCCCCCAGAAAGCAACGGCTCCTATCTGTCCAGGGACATGTCTCAGTGCCCTTCACGAGACTTGGATTCAAGACCTTGGAGCAACTGCCAGCTCTGCTACTGACACTGAAAAGAGAAAGCCGAGGTGCCCACAAGCGGGGTGGGCACTCGGAGGCTCAGACTTCAAGGCCGAGGGGACCTGAAAGATCATCTAGTCTAACTAAGTGAGGTAATGGAGGCCCAGGGCAACAGTGTGTGAGCAGCTTCTCTGTACCCCACTCCAGTGCCCCCCACTTGGGGGGGGGCTGGAGAGGAGAGTTCGGCTCAAGTTTAGATTGCACTTGACCCTAAGGTCCCTTCCAGCTCAGAGGTTTGGGGATGACTGTCAGGTAAACGGAGGTAAAAAAAGACTTGCACTGTCTCTACCATATGGTTGTGCTCTTTGCTGTATTTTGGTGATGCTGTGAGGTCACAGCTAACTTTGGGTGTATCTTCTCTCTGCCCCCCCCTCCCCCAAGCTCCACCAGCAAGGAAACCCTTTGACACCTCACTGAATGATCGGCTTTCCTCACTACTGCTGCTATTCCAGACCTTTTCATTCCTTCTCAAGCTTCTCATTCTCCAAACCCTCTCAACTGAGGACCTCACCTCATACTTCACTGAAAAAACTGAGGTCATCTGCTCCCTCCTGGTTGACGGCCCTGCCTCAAGTCTCTCCCCACTTCAAACCATCCTTCATGTAGCTGTTGCCAAGATGATTTTCCCAAAGTACAGGTCACTTCCCTACTCAAACACCAGTGTCTCCTATTGCCTTCAGGGTCAAATACAAAATCTTGTTTGATATGGAAGCCCTTCCCAAGCAGGCCACTTTCTCCCTTTCTGGCCTTCTTGTGTGGTACTACCTTCCACACACTGGCCAGTTTAGCTGTTCCTCACACATAAACACTCTATCTTCCAAGTGTTCCTTTTCACTGGCTGGAGCCCATGCCTGCAACACTCTCCTGGAACCCTTCTGCTTTCCCTATGCTACGACTTCCTTCAAGACTTAGTTCGGTCTCTCTGTAAGAGGCCTCTGGGAGAATCTCCCCCATCGGCCCCACCTCCTCACTGCTTTCTCTAGGAGATCACCTGTGAAAATGGGAGTTCCTTGAGGACAATATTACTGTCCCTGTTTTACAGATGAGAAACTGAGGTTCCCATAGTAACACAATCAGTTTCAAGTTTTCTGCTCACAGTCCAGTGCCCTTTCCAGGCCAAAGACATTCTCCATCCGCTGCTCTGCCTGGTTTTGACTCCCATGAATATCATGTCCTCTGGTACCCATCATGCCAGGCACCCTCTGGCGGCTGCAGCTTCCTCCTGTAGATTGTCTTCCCCCTTCTACTGTACACTCCTTAAGGGCAAAGACTCACTCTTTTTCTTATTTGTAGCCTCAGCACTTAGCACAGTGCCTGGCACGTAGCAGGTGCTTAATAAATGTTTATTGACTATTAACACACTATTCTAGTTCTATTAGAAAGCAATGGGTGTCCCTCAAACTTGATATGTCCAAAATGGAGCACCATCTCCCTGCTCCCCTTGCTCCATTTCCTGTTTCTCTACAAATTCTGTCTGGGGTACCAGATCTCCTTTTATTCACCCTAGATCACAACCTGGCATCCTCTCCCTCACCCCACCCCCCACCCCCATACTCAATCAGTTCCCAAGTCCTACTGAATCTGCTTATACAGTAGTTCTCACAACTCCTTCTACTACCATGGGCACCCCTGGTGCAGGCCCTCATCCCTCTCACACCAGGACAATGGCAATACCCGAATGGGGTGGTGGGGGGGGCCTGCTGTCTGCCTCCAGTCTCTCCCCACTCCAGTCCATCCTCCACTCAGCTGCCAAGTGATCTTCGTAAAGTGCAGGTCCGACCATGTGACACCCCCTCCCTCCACCCCCTTGTAAAAGAAGCTTCTGCAGTTCCATATTTGCCAAATACAACTGGCACTGAAAGCCTTCCAGCAGCATGGGCCAGTGGAAAGCGCCCTGGATTTGGAGTCAAGGCTTTGAACCCCAGCCCTCCTAATGATCAACACAATATCTCTTCTCTAGCAGCTGGAGGCTTACAAAGTACTTTCCTCACAATAACCCACAGGAGGTAATTGGTTCAAGTACTAATGCCTCCATCTTCTAGAAAAGGAAACTGAGGCGAGGGGAGGGGATTTGCCCATGGTCACAAAGGTGAGTGTGAAAGCCTGGGTTTCCAGGTGCCCCAGGTTGGCAGACATATCCAGGGCTCCTTCCACCAGGCCACACTGCCTCTCATATTGGGATTTCACCTTCCCTTTTGTCCAGTAATAGAGTATCTTTGGCAGTGCTGCCACAGAGGGTTCCCCCCAATTCATCACTTTCTTGTATTAGCTTATTCCCATGGGGCCACTGTGGTCCTCATTACTAGAGTCCTCGATGGATTCTAAAGGGCTTTCCTCACAACAACCCTGTGAGGTAGGTAACAAGTGTTATTCTCCCCATCTCAATGGAGAAAACAGGCTCAAAGGAGGCGCTGAGACTTGATGCCAGCTGTGGGCCAGAATGCAGGAGGCCACAATGCGAATATTCAACGTTCAGAGCACAGGCTGCAGAGAAGACAGAGATCTCATCAATGTCCCAGGCCAAACCCCTTTTCTTATACAGAACCGAAGCGAGGTCCAAGAAGGTCTGCTGACTTGCCAAGATCATTCATCTTTCTCTACATCCTAGACAAGTCTTTCCCATACTCCTTATACCCTTGTATGCATCATCTGATGCTGAATAAGGTTTGAGCTCCTGCTGAAGGCTTTGCCACATTCGCTACATTCATAAGGTTTCTCTCCACTGTGGATTCTCTGATGTTGAATGAGGTTTGAGCTCCGACTAAAATTTTTCCCACACTCATTACATTCATAAAGTTTCTCCCCACTATGAGTCCGCCTGTGTTGAATAAGGCAAGAGCTCTGACTGAAGGTTTTCTCACACTCGTTACATTCATAGCGTCTCTCCCCACTATGAATTCTCTGATGCCGAATGAGATCGGACCTCACCCTGAAGACTTTCCCACACACATTGCATTCGTAGGGCTTCTCACCACTGTGGATTCTCTGATGGTTAATGAAAGTGGCTATTTGCCTGAAGGCTTTGCCACACTCACTGCACTGGTAGGGCTTCACTCCAGTATGGATTCTTTGATGCTGAGTAAGGTGTGAGTTCTGACTGAAAGTCTTCCCACATTCATTACATTCATAGGGTTTCACTCCAGTGTGAATTCTCTGATGTTCAATGAGTTTTGAACTACCTCGGCATGCTTTTCCACATTCATTACATTCGTAAGGTTTCTCTCCACTATGAATCCTCTTATGTTCAATAAGGATGGAATTCCGGCTGAAGGCTTTGCCACATTCGTTACATTCGTAGGGTCTCTCTCCGCTGTGAATCGTCTGATGGCGGATAAGTGCGGAACTCGCCATAAAGGCTTTGCCACATTCATTACATTCATAAGGTTTCTCTCCGCTGTGAATCGTCTGATGGTGAATGAGGGTTGTGCTGCGGCTGAAGGCTTTGCCACATTCATTACACTTATAGGGCTTCTCTCCACTATGAATTTTCTGATGCTGAATAAGGTTGGAGCTCCTCCTGAAGGCTTTGCCACACTGATTACACTTATGAGGCTTGTCTCCACTGTGGGGTTTGGATTTACTTGTGTATTCTGAACTCAGCCTGCAGCCATGCTCATGCAAACCACATCTCTGGGCTCTCTCTTCTGGAGGATCTGTCTCATGTGGAACAGGATCTGAGCTTTTACCACATTCATTTTCTATGGGGGTCACGCTCATGCACGTGGTCCCATTACCAAAATCTCCCTCTTGGTTACGTGAGCCTTCCGGTCTTTTCTCTTCTGGCTTTTCCTGTTGTACCTCTAACCTGCCCCCCAATCCAAAATTTTCTCCAATTTTGGAGTCCTGGGAAATGGCCCCTTGTAAACCTACCAATGATATCCCTTGTGATTCTACTTTGGAAGCTTCCTGTGTTGAAACAGACTCTCTGTTTTCAGTTTCATTCTTAGAATCTGAAATGATAAATAGAAAAACACAAATCTACACTGCGTGAAAGTGACCCACTGATCAGAAAGTTCAGAAGCAGTATCACAGAAATTTATCCAATCAGGAGTACAAGCTGGGAAGGACACAGGACAGCACTGACAGTAGCCAGCTCTGGTTCACTGCTACACCTACAACAGCACTGGGCCTTCCTTTCCCATTCTATCATGCACTCTTGGTTCTATCCCCTAAACCACTGCCTCTCTTATCCAAGTTCTCCTAGAAGGGGGACAACAGCATCAAGAGGGCTAAAGTCCACAATGAATGTTAAGAACACTAAAAAAGACTTTCCTGTTATGTCCTGAGCAATGGGTACCTGACACAAGGGGAGGGGCCCCACTAGGCTGGACAGGCCACATCTGGAACACTGTGTTCATTTCTAGACACCACATGTAAAATGGGTCATTTGACATACAGGAGACACCGTTTATGGGAGGGCAACCTTGACGACGGCTCCCAACAAATCATTCTATACAAGGGCCAGCATGTGGAAGAAGTCCTTTGAGAGTAATGGAGAAGCAGGGCTGGCACTCAGCACTAATACAGTATCTAAAGTCAGATTTCTCTCTGAAGCTGGTCTTAGCTAGATTCCATCCTCCTGACAAATTCTCAGACCTGTATTAAAATAACTTTCTATATACGCTCAAGGCAACTATTGATTTCTTCTAAATGATGAAGGGCTCAGAGTAGAACAGGCAGGGGACAGAGTCAAAAATTCAGATTTTTCTCGTCTTTCCTCTTCTCTTCACTGCCACTGTCATCATCCTAGGTCAAAGCCAGCAACCATCACTCACACTATTGTAGTAGACTCCTAGCTGGGTTCCGAGACTCCAATCTCTTTCCCCTCTCCAATTACTCTACATGTAGTCACCAAATTAGATCTTCCCAATGAAGAGGTCTGATCATGTCAATTCCCAGTAATCCGCATAATGCAGAAAAGTCCTTAGCCCTGCATTGGCGGCCCTTCAAGCTGCCTCTGATCTACCTTTCCAGGCTCATTGAACACTGAAACCTTTCACGTAGGCGCTATTCGGGAGCCACTGCCTCTACTCTGCTGAAAGGGATCTCTCCTTTGATTTCATCCCACTCAACTGTGGATGTGTCATAATCCCCCATTAGACTGCCAACTCCTTGAAATAGGATCTCTATTTTTCACCTTAGCACCCCCAGCCCCCAGGACAGTGCTTGCACCCAGGAGGTACCTAAATGAATGTTACCAAGAGCACTGCTTTGAAGAAGGCTCTCCCTCACCAAGTTCTTGGTAGTGGCAGCCATGGAATTAAAAATGAAAAGAAGAAGCCCGAGTCTGTAGAGGCGGACAAGGAGGGCAGTCATCAGCAGTGGCTGGCACAAAGAAAGAGCAAGAAGGGCACAGAACTCATCTCGAGAGGTGGACAAAAGTAGAGAAGCAGCAGAAATAAAGCCGAGACAAGAATGGAGGAGGTGAAGAGTGGCAGGCAGTGAGACGAGAAGAAGCAGAGCACACAAGGGCTAGGTTTGTAAAGTTCAGAATTACAGAAGAGACTACAAGGAGAAAGGGAAAAGAAGCTTTTTTTTCTCGTATGCTCCTCCTAGTGAGGCAGACCAGAGGGTCACTGAGGAGTTGTATTCATAACAAAACTGTTCAATCGCAACATCTCTACCCACCCCCATCTAGGCTACCACTGCCTACAGCTGCCCTCCCTCACCTGGGCAGGGGCTTCCCTTCTGGAAGTCTCTATCATCAACCTCCTCTGGCTCCACGATCTGCAGCTTTCCCTCTTCCTCCATCTGGAAGATGGTGTCTGGCTCAGGAACTAGAAATCCTGTTCAGGAGACAATAAACAGCACAAGGAAATTTGGGTTGAGCACTGTTTTGGGCAGACTTGTTCCAGAACTCAGGGACACCCCCTGGAAAGGTCAGGGACAAATATGGCAACTATCCAGAGATCCAATATTCAGGCGACACGAAGGGGATGCTCAAAGGTCATATTGAGTTACTGAGTCTCATGCCATTCCTTTGCCCATTCTAGTCCTTCTTGAATCTCTCCCGCCCGGTTCCTTCTGCCCAGCCAATTCTCGTCCATTTTTCAGAAACCAACTCAAGGTCTGGGCTCTCAAAGAAGCCTTCTCTATTTCTATTCCCCACTGGTCTCAATGCCCATTGCAGGTGGAGTCAGTGTCACAGTTTCACGACAAGATTTACCAAAAGGAACATGCAGATTTTGCCTGCTAATCAATGCAGTTTCTCTGATCTTTGACTATCTGTACACTTCACAGGCCTGAACTGACCCCTTCTTTCACTTGTAGCTGCCATGCTCTCTCCTCCCAGCGCCAATTTTAGTAGGCGTCAGATGTCTGAGGGTTTTTAAGGGTACACCAGACAGATCTGCAATTCCCTAGGTCGACCTCTAGCCAACAGGTGGCTGTGTAGAGATGGGCAGAGTCCAGGCCTGGATAAAGTATCAGTACTACCCTGGGTGGCAGAGTTTCAATCACAAGTTATATATGTCTCTGTAACATGAGCCATGCATGCATCCCAGTGGAAGCGCCAGCTGGTAGCAGGCCAAACTCCAGCTGCAGCAGGGATACAGCCCCCTTTTTTCCCTCATTTTTTTTCCCACTGTGCCCTGGAATATTCGAATTAGAGAACTCAATGAAAAGGGAGACAGATACTTTTTCAACCAGTAGTTCTATTGTATTCTCTCCACTAGAAGGAGAGGGATGGCATTCCATCATAAACATCTAATCCCTCCGCCTGTCTCCTGGCCCGGTCTGCCTGCCTGGGAAGGAGAGAAGCGCCATTCCATCACAATTCCTCCACCTCATCTCCTGGCCTGGCTGCTGGAGCACAGCAATTTCATTCCTTCATACTCCCTTCACTGGTCACCTGGCCTGAGGCGGCCCCCATACCATCACCTCCCCCTCCTGATCCCGACCTCTGAGGCCAAACACAACATTTGAAGTACCTGCCTCAGAAGGTTGTAGTGAAAAAGAACTTTGTAAGCTTTCAAGACCCACTAGAGATAGGTGAACAGCTATTATTATTTTTTTGGTCCAAACTTCTGAGTTGGTTGTTTTAGGTATGGAAAATCCTTCCACTGATGTGGATTGAGAACTGTAACTTATAGTCTTAGAGATGTAGACAGCAATGATTAACAGGCCCTAAGAAGCTAGCTGACCAGCCCCAAGGACACAGATTTTCCTGACTTTAAGGCTGGCCTTTTATCCACTCTGCCACATTGCTTCTCAATTACTATTATTTTTAGTAACTGTTTACTGAATGAATAAGCAAGGAAAGGTTTGGGGAAATCCACAGATGACAGGTCTAATGCAGATTTATTTAGGAGAAAATTAGGAACGCTCTCCTCTGATGGCTCATCATGGAATGGAGGTGACCCCAAGTTCTTCAAGGCTCTGTTAGTGGACGACAAGCTCCAGCAGAACCTTGCAAAATGGTGAAGTTTCAAGTATGCACCTAGTGATGTTTTCTGACTTCTGTCTGAGCCCCAGCTGAGCTAAATCTGGAGAGGCTCACCACCATGGTGGTCATAAGGGAATCCAGTTTTTGGCTTCAGCAAGTCACAAAAGTCAAAAAATGTCTCGTCAACAATGTTATAATGGGGCTTTGCTTTTAGGGATGGCCTGTATTCAGGTGTGGGGAACCCGTGGCCTGGGGGGCACACGTGGCCCTTTAGGTCCTCAATTTCAGCCCTTGGACTGAGTCCAAGTTTTACAGAACAAATTCCCCTTAATAAAAGGACTTGTTCTGTGAGGTTTGGATTGAGTCCAAGGGCCGAAATTGAGGACCTAGAGGGTCACGTGTGGTCTCAGACAACAGGTTCCCTACCCCTGGATTAGATGGTCAATTAAGGCCCTTATAACTCTCAGGTTCTGCTATATATTAAGGCAGAAAAAACTTACAATCTACATGGCTGCTAGAAGACCCACCCCAATGAATTTACAGATCCTTGAGCAAGGAATGCTCTAGGTATAGTCTTGATCTGTGAAAAACTATCACCAAGACACCTATTCCTATTCCTCTCTCCCCATCTCTGGTCAGAAATGGGACTGACCATTAGCCTGGTCCCACAGCACAGCAATGGCCATGTTCCAATGATCCCAACTTTTCTTTCTTTCTTTTTTTCCCAAAGACCTGTGATTTCACTGATCGAAGGAGCTCCTGTTGAGGAATGGTACCGACTGACAGCCTCTCTGCAACTTTATGGTCCTAAAAAGTTGCTAGGGGCGTTGACTCTCTACCCACTATGGCACACTGCCTCCTTGTTCACAGCTATTAATAACAAGAATAAAATCAACCACTTCAATAGCCTCCGAAATGGTCCGCCGGTGTCCTGTCTCTCTCCTCTCCAATCCAACCTCCACACAGCCACCACCTTAATATGGACCACGTCACGCCCCACCCAGCCCAGGGGAGTAGCGGTTCCCCGCGGCTTCTAGCTTCAAAAGTAAACTCCTCTCTGACATTCCAAGCCCTTCCCAATTCCAGACTGAGTTCACATTACTCCCCCCACCCACTCTACTTACATTCCTGCCAAACTGGCCTACCAGCTGTTCCTTGCACACTCCACTTCCGACCTCGGCGCCTTTGCCCAGGCTGTCGCCGAGGCCTGGAATTCTCCACTTGGGCGAGCCTCAAGGTTCAGCTCAAGTGCCACCTCCTCCATGAGGGCGGCAGCCTTACCTATCCTTGCACACGCACGGCGCCTTTCCCCCCCGGGCCCACGCGCCAGAAGGTGAGCCCCGTGAGGCCTGGGGCGGCCTCATCACGGTCTGGCCATCTGCAGCGCCGCCGGGCCAAGGGCCCGGCCCACACTCTAGCCTACGTGTCCAAGGAGTGAGGGAAGAGGAGACGTGGGGCAGGGGCGGCCCGAAGGTTGGAGAGGCGGGGTCGAGGAAGCGGAAGGGGCGGGATCGCCGCCGCCGCCGCCGGACGCAAGCCGCTAAAGCTCAGAGGGCCTAGCGCTCCGCTCCGGTCGGGCCAAATCTGCTCTCCCTCCCCGCTCCCTGGGGCCCCAGACTCACCGGAACCCGAACCCCGGGAGTCCCGCAAAGCCCCTTCCCTCGAAGAGGACCATCGAGACCTGCCGGCGCCGCAGGCTCCTCCTGACGGTGGGAGGCGCTTCCGGTGCCACTCTAGGACGCCTCGGAGGGCTGGCATCTTGGTGCTCCCCTGGAAGCTTCCCATTGGCCTGGAGGGGAGTGGGGCGGGTGCCTGGGCGAGCGGGATGATGAGCTCAGGATGTAAATGCGACGCACACATGGGAATATGGGAATTTGTTTTGCTTGACTCTGCATATTTGTTACAAGAGTTTAGGGTTTGGTTTTTTAAAGTTTTTTCCCCCCAGTTTGAGTAAATAAATACTTAATTTAGCAAAATTTAATAAAAATATAGGAGGGGAGATGAGGGTCAACAGAATCAGCATCACAGAAGATAAAATGGACATTTTTAATTTCATAAAAACCAAAAGCTTTTGCACAAAGAAAACTAATGAAGTTAAGCAGAAGGGAAACAAAAAAAAATCTTTGCAGCAGTTCCTCCAATAAGGGTTTTATTTCTAAGATTTTCAGGGTGTCCCAAAAGTTTTAGGTTTTAAGCTTCACTAGCTTAATATATGACTACATACATATAGCGGCAGACCTCCTGGCTTACTCTCTCAAGACCAGGTGGGCTCCATATCCACTCAAGGTTCCCTAGGGCCTGGGACACCACTTTTTCTTCTATTGCCCCTGCCACCACCAAAGCTGTGTGCCTCCTATTGTTATGAGGTGCATGACAGCAACCCAATTCCACATAAGAACTTCACCTCAAAGACCTAACTGGAACAAACATGCCAGCATTCCCTTCCCCCCCCAACTATATCTGAGGTATAGTTCCCCCATACACCATCTCAATCTCTGGGTAGAAATAGGCTCAACATTTAGCTCAGGGCCTGTAAGTACTAGATCTCAAGCTGTACTACACAGCAGTAATCATTCAAATGATTCGGCTTCGTTAAAAAGCAATCAGTGAAACAGAGTAGGTGATTGTTGTTTGTCCTTCATGCTAGAAGAGGGCCAAAATGACATGACTATGTTGGGGTCAAGGTATAGTGTCTGACGGTGGTTGATCAGACTGAGATGAGCTCGAAAGGCTCTACCACAGCTTGGACACAAATAGTCTGCATGACCATTTAGGAGAGAGATGTCTTTCAATTTGCACATCTCGAGTTCCTTTTGAGCTACTGAGAGCACAGAACCTTCTTTGATGTGGGCATGCCATGTGGGGCACTCCTGTGCCAGTGTCTCCCATGTCTCACAGTTGATTCCAAAGTTCTTCAGAGACATCGTAAGAGTGTCCTTGTATTGCTTCTTCTGACCTCCCTGTGAGCACTTGTCTCATGGGACTTCTCCATAAAATAGTCTTTTAGGCAAACATACGTGGAAGCAAACAAACACAGTAGTATAGAAAGCTATATTTGATAAATCTAAAGATTTTGGGTAGTAGGGGAAGGACTCACTATTTGACAGAAACTGCTGGGAAAACCAGTCAGCACTCTAATAGAAATTAGGTATAGGCCAACACCTCACACCGAACACTAAGATAGGTTCCAAAAGGATACATGACTTAGATATTAAAAGTCACTCCTAAACAAATCAGAAGAGCAAGGAAGAAATTACCTTTTTGATCTGCAGAGAGGGAAGAGTTTCTGACTGAACTCGTGATAGAGAGGACCACACAGGATAAAAGAGACAATTTTGATTCCGTAAAATTTAACAAAAAATTTACACAAATACCTAATGCAATTGAACTTACAAAGGAAGTAGATACCTCTTTGTAGCAAGTTTCTCTGATAAAGGTGTAATTTCCAAAATATATAAGTAACTGATTCAGACTTATAAGACTGAGAGCCATTCCTCAATAGATAAGTGGTCAAAGAATACAAACAGGCAGGTTTCAAAGGAAAGAATCCAAACCATCAATAATCACATTTTTTCAAAGGTTCTAATCACTAGTATTTAGTGAGATGCAAATTAAGGGACCTTTGAGGTACCACTACATAGTCATCAGGCTGGCAAAGATAAAACAAACATGACAAATGATTGGAGGCATTTACCTGGCACACAGTGGGTGCTTAATAACTATTGATTGATTGATTGAAACAGGGATATTGGTACATTGTTGGTGGAGCTGTGAAATCAAAGAAAGAAGACAAGGATCTGTATGTACAAAAGTATTTGTAGCAAGTCTTTTTGTGGAGGCAAAGAACTTGAAACTAAGGAAGTTTGCTCCTGTCGGGGAATAGCTGAACAATTTATGTTATATGAATGTAATAGAATATCATTGTGTCACGATAAATGATGAAATAGAACAAATTCAGAGGCTGGTAAGTGATAATGGACAGAATGCTGGACTTGGAGACATAGAGATGAATTCCAATCCTGCCTCAAACACTAGCTCTATGACCTTGGGCATGTCACTTAACCCCATTTTGCCTCAGTTTCCTCATCTGCAAAAAAAGGGATAATAATAGTACCTATCTCTGAGGGTTGTTGTAAGGATTAAATGAGGTAATTAATATTTGTAAAGTGCTTTGCAAACCTTGAAAGACTATGCAAATTCTAGCTATTGTTCCCATTTTTGCTGTTGTCATTGTCCTTCATTTCTGCAGAGGACCAGTGGCAGCATTGACAATGTGTTCACTTGCTTGGGAATTTAAGTGAAGCAGAGTGGTGCCAACTGAGCCTCACTCTCACTATTATTCTTAGCTAGTATTCCCAGGAAATTGAGAAGGCCTTTATAAACTCTTGGAGAGTGAAGTGAGCACTAGGAGAACAGTTCATTTATTTATCTATTTATTTTTTGTTTTGTTTTTTTGGCTAGGCAATTGGGGTTAAGTGACTTGCCCAGGGTCACACAGCTACTAAGTGTCAAGTGTCTGAGGCTGGATTTGAACTCAGATCCTCCTGACTCCAGGGCCGGTGCTCTATCCACTGCACCACCTACCTGCCCCGTAGGAGAAGACTTTATACAATAGAGAAAAACAACAATGTGATAACAGATGTCCCCAGGTTTATACACAGTCCTCTTGTCTTTGGTTGTTCTTTTTTTTTTTTAAAGGCAATTGGGGTTAAGTGACTTGCCCAGGGTGACACAGTTATTAAGTGTCAAGTGCTTGGTCTGAGGTCAGATTTGAACTCAGGTCCTCCTGACTTCAGGGCCTGAGCTCTATCCACTGTGCCACCTAGCTGCCCCCTTTGGTTGTTTTTTGTGAATTGAAATGTTTGTTTTTGTTGAGGATTGTTAAATCATAACATAAAAATTAAAAGAAAAGAGCCTTGTAAACCTTGAAAAAAAGAAACTCTCAGTTTCTACAGAGCAGTGTTCCAACTTACTTCACAGCTAGAAGCCAGAGAAAAATGGTCCTCGGCTACAACTGTGTTAGGGTTGCCAGAGGTCACTGCTTGATGTTCCAGACATGGAGGCTGCAAACCTGGACTTTGTAATGCCCACATGCAGAGGAAGGTTGGAGTCAGTCTTCATTCCCTTCAATGGTCACCAAGCTCCCCTAAAAGCACAGAGAAAAGAGAGCAGTAGCTGAATCTGGAAGGCTTTTTTTTTTACAAGTATTCACAGCCAATCAGATTTCGATTTCAGCACATGGTTTGCTATATAATTTCTACATATGCTGTATACAAGTCATTAACATTCTCTGGGGGCAGCTAGGTGGCACAGTGGATAGAGCACAGGCCCTGGAGTCAGGAGGACCTGAGTTCAAATCCAGTCTCAGACACATAACACTTACTAGCTGTGTGACTCTGGGCAAGTCGCTTAACCCCAATTGCCTCACAAAAGAAAAGAAAAGAAAAAAAAAGAGATTCTCTGGAAGATTTCCTTAGCATCCACCATGTAGAGAGCCAAAATCTCCCTAGTGGCCTCCAAGTAGACGCACCATGTAAGGCACTCTGGGCATGTCTCAGACTCTCATTATATTAGGAGGTGATTCAAAATGATAAGAAGAGCCATTACCCAATAGATGAACGGACAAAAAATACACACAGGCAATTTTCAACTGAAGCAATCCAAGCTATCAGCAACTATATGAAAAAAAATGCTCTAAATCACTAATAATTAGCTAAACGTAAATTAAGGCAAATTTGAAGTTCCACCTCACCCCCATCAGACTGACAAAGATGACAAAAGAGGAAAATAACAATTGTTGGAGGCTCAGGGAAATAGGTACACTAAATAGTGCACTGTTGGTGGAGCTGTAAATTGGCCCAGCCATTTTGGCATGCAATTTGGAACGCTGCCTAGAAAGTTATCAAACTTTGATCCCGCAATATAGGCCTATACCCCAAAGAGGCCAAAGAAAGAGGAAAGCCCCCCCCCCCACCCCGTGCACAAAAATATTTATAGCAACTCTTTTTGTGGTGGCCAAAAATTGGAAACCAATGGGATGTTCTCCTATCGGGGGGATAGCTAAACAAATTGTGGTATCTGAATGTAATGTGATAATGTTCCATAAGAAATGATGAAATGCACAGTTTCAGAGGAAAATGGAAAGACCTCTAAGAACTAGTGTCGAGCAAAGTGATCAGAACTAGAACAATTTATAGAATAATGACATCACAAAGAAAAACAATTTTGAAAGACTTCAGAACTCTGATCAATGCAATGATAAACAACTCCAGAAGACTGAAGGCGAAAGATCCCCCGCTCCTGCCAAAGAGGTGACAAATTGACAATGCAGGAAGAGCTGGGCATTTTCTGACATGGCCAGTGAGGGCATCTCTTTGCTGGACTATGCAGCTTTGTATTGAGGGCTTTATATTTAGGAGTTTTTTCCCCTTTGATTTGCTCAATAGGGGTAGAGTAGAGATGTAGTGGGAGGGACAGATTAATAAAAGGAAAAATGAAAACATAACACTGCTCTCTGGGAGGAGGAGGGAGAGGCACCAGGTTGAAAGAAATGCCAAGGGAAGAGACCAGCAAGGAATGCTTTGATGAAGATACAAAATAAAAATTTCCCATTTTTAAACCCACATAAACACATGCTTTCTCCGATGAATTAGTCCTCATCTGAAGCTCAGAATCAGCTCACACAAAACATCAAATGCACTTTATATTTTGAGGCCTAAAGCAAGCTCTGTGCAATGAGTTTTGAGGGAGACATATCAAAATTCTTTAGCAGGGGAAGGGAAGGGAATAAACATTTATATAGCACCTACTGTGTGCCAGGGCACTGTGCTAGCACTTTACAAAATGTGATCTCTTTTGATCCTCCTCATAACAACCCTTGGAGGTAAGTGCTATCATATCATGAGCCCCATTTGACAGATGAGGAAACTGAGGCAGGCAGAGGTGAAGTTACATAAGCAGTGTCTGAGACCAGATTTGACCTCTAGGGCCTGTATTTTATACACAGTACCATTTCACTGGTTTAGGCAGAGGTTAAAGTAGATGGTCTCTGAGGTCCCTTTGACTCTAAGATCAGTGAGGGGATATTGCAAAGCGGTACTGGGCTAGGGAAGCAGGGCAGTCAGGTCGCCAGCACCTGGTTTGGCTGGGGGCAAAGCACCTCTCTTCTCCAGGCCTTAGTTTCCCCACCTTTCAAATACGGCGGCGTTAGACTCGAAGATCTCTAGGCCAACCTGGAGTTGTGACAGCCTAGGACACCACCCATGATAAGACCCTGGTCCTCCATGGGCTCTGTAGAACGGGATGATGAGACTAGAGGATCCTCACAATCACGCTTCTCCTCCACGAGTGTTCTGTGAGCTAGGCGGGTGCCCTTGGGCCAGGCTCTTCCCCGATGTGGGCCTCAGTTTGCCCTAGGTACCGTGGCTGGCCTGGCTGAATCTGCACTGAAGGCCTGAGGCCTCTGGGGGACGGGCTTGAACCACGGACCAGCGAGACGCAACGCCAAGACGTCCGAGGCATCCTAGAGCGGCACCGGAAGTAGTCTGGCGGGGTGAGGAGGGGGCTCCCGGTGGAGGAAGATGGATTTCCGGCGGTGCCATTTTGTGCTACCCGGTGCTCGGGTAAGTGTGCTAGGGGGCGAGGGGCGGGCGGTGGGCCCTGGGCGCTAGCGCTCTCCCTTCTCTCCACCCCCCCACCCTCCGTCCGTCCGTGGCGGGGAGGAGGTCACGCCAGGAGCCCTGCCTTGGGCCTCGGCCCCCTCCCCGTGGCGGGACTCGTCTAGCTTCCTTCTCCTACCACCTGCGGCCCGCACATGCGCAATAGCGCCCCCGGCCTGGCGGGTTAGGGGTGCGAGCTGGCCTGGACCTGCCCTCTCCCCTCCCCCCTCCGTCGCGTCGCGTCCCGTCCAATCCCGTCAGTGGAAGCCGAGCAACGGGGCCCACTCAGTCAGGCAGCAAGTGCTTACTAAGCGCCTACTGTGTGTAAGGCAGGCTCTGGGGAGGTCCGAGATTAAAGAGAGGCAGCTCTCGAGGGTAATGAAACAAAGCGGAGGGCCCCCGGCCTCCCGAGAGCTCCTCCCCTGGTCGAAGCCGTGGGGGCTGTCCTAGGGCACGTGATTCTGCCTCCCTGGGGCTCTAATTCCCCCAGCTGGGTCCTGGATCTTAATGTCACGTCGCATCTGGACATCTTTGGGGGGTGCCCGGTATTTTCCCATTTTGGATAGAAGCCAGTGGCATTTTAGGGACGGGGTTGGATGCTTGGCTAGCTTGGCTCCTTTAGTCTCCCTGCCACTTCCCAGCAAGGGGTCTTGGCCACAGTTGGAGTTTCATTGCCAGCAATTTTGAAGCTGATGGATGGTGAGAGTAGAAAGAAGCTCTGTGGGTTTTGGTGAGCCCCAGTCATTCTTAAGGCCTCCGAACCTTTTGTGCTGGGGTGTAATAACTACCCTCTGCTTTCTAACACTCATCTCTCTTGTAACCTCACCGCGTTACTTTGTAACTTGAAGAGTCGAGATCGGTGGTTACTAACGGTTGAGCCCGTGGCTATTCTAAGTAAATTGTGGAAAGAAATGGGCTTGTTCAGTGATTTTTGTGGAAAGGCAGAGCATTATGGGTTGTGAGGAGATGGCCTTGATGACGATAGAGTATAATCTACTAGCTAGATGTTTTTTCCGGGGCAAGTCCACAGCAGATTTTTGCTGTGAAATTTATGTTACTTAAGATCCTTAAGTTGTTTTTTTTTTAGTAGTTAAGATTTGCAATTTCATCATGGTGAAGGATCCTGGTTTGTAGGAGAAGTTGGCATCACAGAGCCTAAGTTCGAATCCTGGCACTGGCACTTATTACCTTTATGACTTAACCTCACTAGACCTCATGTTTCCTCATGTATAAAATGAGAATGATACTATCAGGACCTACCTCACAGGCTTGTTGTGAGGAACAAATGAAATAATGTATGTAAAGCACTTTGCAGACCTTACTGAAATCTACAGCCTTCATTATTATTGTGGGCCCTTCAAGCAGAGCATTTCCCCATACCTTCACATCTTACTAGGCCACCCTGTGGAAACAACCCCCAGCCCTGGAACAACACACAGAGTCTCTCATCAACTTGGTAGGCTCTGCCAGATTGTTTACTCCTCGGGTCAGACACCTTTCTGGCCCTCTGAAGCATTGGACGACCCCTTTAGGGGAGGTCATAGACTCCCCCAAGTTGGAAGAGATCTAAGACTCCATAGCTGAGGAAGAGAAATCCCCTCTACAATAGGGCTCTTCTTCACAGAATATTTTTAAAGACGTACAATAAAATACATAGGAGTACAAAGGAAAACAATTACATTAAATCACAAGTTATTCAAATATGTTTTAAAGAGTTCACAGACCCCAGGTAAAGAACCCCTAGATATCTCTGGGAAGAGGTCATCCAGCTTCCTGAGGTAGCCCCTTCTAGGTAGTGCTGACTGTCAAAAAGGTTTTCCTTCTATCCAGCAGAAATCTGCTTTCCTGCAACAGTCATCCCATTTCTTAATTTTTAAGCCAATCCCTCACCCAAATAACTGCTGCAAATACAGTTATAATGCCTTCTCTGCTTTTTGGAGGTGTGTCTCAGGGTTGGGAACCATATTTTAGCCACATAAAAACATGAGGTGGTGGGGAACTGACTTAAACTATACAGACAGTTCTCACTTTTTGCAAATCTGCATTTCTCCCCAAAATATATCCATATTAACATTACAGTGCAGTACTGTGTCCTCTTCCTTCTCTGATTCTCCTGCTCCCCAGCTTGGTACTCTGAGGCTTCCCCCCACTCCACCCCCCCTCAAAAAAAGCCCACTCCAAGTGAAAGTAGAACTGATTTGGAGAGTGACCACCTCTACCTTGAGGGCAGGGGATTTGGCTTGAGACCTCCAAGCTGAGAGAAGAGACCTTTGCCACATCCTCCCATGTGATTCCCCCACCCTGACCCCATGTATGTATCTTCCTGGTCTGGGTACCCAGTACCTTGTATCCTCTGTTCTCTTCTGTCTGTGTCCTTGTCCCAGTCCAGCCACAGGGCCCCACCACCCCCAGTCCCCCCCCCATCCCTTTCTGGTTCCAGATGTTCCTCCTCCTGCTTTCTGTTCCATACTTGAATTACTATAAAAATCGCTTTATGAAGAGGTCTGCCGAACAGTCCACTTATGTAAAGCTAGAACTGTCTGAATTGAGAGAGATAGAGTGTGTGTGAGAGTATGTGTGTGTGTAAAGACAGAGTAAGAAAGAGTACCCATCTGCGAGTTAGGAGACCTTGTTTATAGTCCTGGTTCTGCCACATGTGATCTAGCAAATCCTTTCTGGACCTTTTTTCCTAGTGTAAAACAGCTATTAATTTTTGTTTTTAACTTGTTTTTCAAGTAAACATTTGTTTTCTTTTCTCTGCTCCACCCCTATTTCTTCTCTCTTCCCCCCCCCTTTCCTCTCTCTCTCCCTTTCTTTCTCCCGCTCTCCCCTCTCTTGAGACCAGGTTTCCCCATTTCATCCAGGTTAGAAGTGCAGCAACCACTCATGGACCCAGTCTGAGCAACCTGTTTGAACTGGGTTGGCCAATCCCATCCCTCCCAGCCTGGTGACCTCTGCTCCTGGAGGCTCACCATATTGTTCCTGCACATGGTCTGGACACCTGATGAGTCTAGCGCTCTGAAGCTCAGAACTCCCTAGCTTGGGAGAGCTACCAGCCTCAGCCTCTCCAGTAGTAAGGACCATAAGCATGCTCACTTTCCCCATTTCCTCACATTTAAAAGAAAAAGAAAACCAAAACCCTTGTAACAAATATACATAGTCAAGCAAAATAATTCCCACATTGTCCGTGTCCAAAAATGTGTCTCGTTTTGCAGTTTGGAGTCCATCCCCTATCAGGAGGTAGGTAGCATAGGTGATCATCAGTTCCTTTGGAATCATGGTTAGTTGTCCCATTGATGGGCATTGTTGAGTCTTGGAAAGTTGTCGTCTTTACAGTGTTGTTATTGTGAAGATTGTTCTTGTGGCTCTGCTCACTTCACTGTGTATCAGTTCATGCAAGCAATCCTCGCTTTTGCTGACACCATCCCCTTCATCATTTCTTAGAATTCTGTAATTCAGGTTGTCTTCAGAGTTACTCTGATGCTGGTGGGAATAGGGTTGAGCAGGGTCACTTAAAGTAATTATATGTAGATTAAAAAGCCAGAGCAGTACGTTGGCCCCCTTGAAGGCTTCAGCTTCCTATCAGGTAATTTGGAAATCCCGACCTACTGACCTACTCCCTCTTCCAGTGCTGGGACTCCCTTAAGGGTCTAGTGCTTGTATTAGTTTCTCAACGTCCTAGTAAGAAGAGGGCTAATGATTTCATATGCAAGATAGATAAAGAATTGATTTGAATTTATAAAACTAAAAGCCATTCCCCACTAGATAAATGGTTGAAGGATATGAACAGGCAGTTTTTAAAGGAAAAAAATCCAAGCTATCAACAACCATGTGAAAAAATTCCAACTCATTAAAAATGGAGAAACATAAAGTAATGAAGTTCTACCTCACACCCATCAGATTGGTAAAAAAAGGTAGAAAAGGGAAACGGCTAGTGTTAGAGGGACCATGGGAGAATGGGTGCACTTGGGAGTCAGCCCAGCCATTCTGGGGAGCATTCTGTAACTTCCCCCAAAGTTACCAAACTGGATGGACCCTTTGACCCAGCAGTACCACTCCTAGGCCCATGCCTCATATGCGTACCTCTTTTTGTAGTAGTCCCAGACTGGCAGGCTGCCTTTAATGCCATGATATCCATCAGAAAAGGGCCAGGAACACGGCCTACTCTCATGAAGCACATTTAGCAATGGTGAAAAAGGAGCAGAGCCTGCTGGGGGGGAGAGGAGGGGGCTTTAGACTCATTTTGCTTGGCCCCTGTGGGTGGAAGTTGAAGACAGGCAGATCTTGGCTTGGTGTAAAGGAAAACTTACTAATTTGTACGGTTTAAAAGTACAGTGAGCTGCCTTAGAAGGTGGTGTACCTGCTGCACTCAGTGATGTGACATAACTCACCCGGGGCTTTGCTGCCAGCTCTCTGCCTGCTTCCCCTCAGAGGCTTGGTGACTTGGGGGCTTTTCTCAGAGAGATTTCTTTTTGGCTTCAGCTGCTTGAGGCTTATGTTTGTTGTTGGTAACTTAGGAAGGAAGTTGGAGTTTGACCACATCTGGATCTATTACTTGAAGACCCTGACATTTCGTTCATAGCACCCACTATGGGCTAAACACTTTGCAGTTATTATCCCCATTTTACAAACAGGCAGACAGGTCAAGTGACTTGCCCAGGGTCACACAGCTAGTAAGTCTGAGGTCAGATTTGAACTCAGGTCTTCTGTCTCTAGGCCCAGCACTGTAGGCACTGCACCACCTAGCTTTAATTGGCTATCTTTGTGATTTTATGAAAATCTTAGGGATAGCTTTTGTTTTCACATCACCTTTATTTCCAGCCCTATCCCTCTTGCTTCTCTGCCCTTATAAAAAATTCAAAAAAGACCAAAAATGAAGTTCATCAAAACCTGTCTATGCCTTGGTTGTGTTTGGCAATGTGTTTACTGTTCCACAGCCATTGTATGCCTAGTTCTGCTTACTTTACTTTGCATTAGTTCATATAAGTCTTCCTGAGCCTCCCCAAATTCTTCATGTTCATCATGCACAGTAATACTCCATTACATTAAACAGCCGCTAAGCAGTTCTTTTTTTTTGGGGGGGGGTGAGTCAGTTGGGGTTAAGTGACTTGCCCAGGGTCATACAGCTAGTAACTGTTATGTGTCTGAGGCCGTATTTGAACTTAGGTCCTCTTGACTCCAAGGCCAGAGCTCTACCCACTGCATCACTTGGCTGCCCCTAAGCATTTCTAAAGAACCTATTATGTGACTTCTGACCAGGAGGGCTGCTGAATGGAGGTATAATACTCAGCTCTCATACTCCTACTCTAGTAAAAACCTGCAATTTACATCAGGCTCACTAATGATCAAGAAATCCAATGAGAAACTACAGGGAGTTTGTTTTTCCTCCCTAGACCTTCACAAAAAGTCAGCCAAAAGCCTGTGGCAAATATGGAAGGGGCCCTGTCAGCAAAGCCACTGACATCCCAGGCAAACAGGTTAACGGCCGACAGAGCAACCTTTGGTCCAGAGATAGGCCCAGTGTCTGGAGGCTCCCCTCATAAAGACCCAGAAGGGTCAGAAGGCCTCTGGTTGGTGAGAAAGCTCTGGGTGGGGACCTTGGAAGTTGTAGAGAGTGGCAAAGACAAAAATATCGGGTCACCAAGACCAGAACAGGACCTAGACCAGGAAAACCCAGGTACCCAGTTCTGTCCTGAGACACCGTAGCGGGCCCTAAAGATCTCATACTCTGAGCCTTAAAGATTGGGTCAGGGGGGAGGAAATCGGAGCAGGAACCCAGGAGTCCCAGGGTGAGGTCAAGCAGAGCTTCTCACTCCCCCCCAAAAGAGCAATAAGAGACAGAGCTTGTCCCTGGCCCAAAGCCTTATGTCAGGGCCCAAAGCCTTATTTCAGGGCCTAAAGCCGGAGAGCTGAGTAATTTGTAGAAAATGCTGACCAATATCAAAAAATAACAGTAAATTTAGAGATCCCCTCAAAGGATATCTCCCAGAAGCCTCTGCAAGCAGACACTGGAAGGACAAAATGCATTTTCCACAAAGAGTACATGAATACCTAGAAGAAATAAAGCAAGAGACCAGATAAAAAAAATAAGTAACTGCTCCAAAGGTAAGGATCACAAGGAGAATCAAAAGCTTAGAAGAGAAAGTGGGAAACCTTGCCAAGTACCAGATGCCCTGAAAAGACGCTGTCTCCGTGGCCCGCTCACTGTCCCGAATCTGCTCCCTTGGTCGAGCAAACTGTCCTTTGAGTCAAAAGATAAGACAGAAAGGAAGTTCCCTGGGGAGGGGCCTCATGAGCTCCCCACCTTAATCCTAAAAACTCTTATATGTTTTTCTTGCCCATGCTGGGACCCAGACCCATCTGTCTAGGGGTAAATTTAAATCAAATTGCCCCAAGTCCTTCTGGAAACTTCCTTTCCCTGCTGGTGTTGTCAGAATGTAGATTAACTCATATCTTCTCAGAATGGAGTGAACAGAACCAGGAGACCAATTTTAAAGATAACAACCACGGTGTAAAGACTCTGACCGAGAGCCCATGTAGCTCAGGCCAGTTTGGCAATTTGATTTGTTTTGACCATGTACATTTGTCCCAAGGGTTTTTGTTTTTCTTTTTTTCCTGTGGTGTGGGGTGGGGGTGATGGTGAGAGGGAAAGATAATAAATTTTCTTTAATTGGAAAAAATTATGATTTGAAAAAATGATGAAAAGTGATTTCAGAGAATTCTGGGTAGCATGAACCAATGCAGAGTGAAGTGAGCAGAAGCAAGAGGAGAACAACGCTTCCCTTTTTCCAGCTTCCTTGTTACTCTCGAGGGCACCACCATTCTGTTTCCATCCTATACTCAGCTTTTCTGAGCCTCAGTTTCTAATTCTATAAAATGAAGATTGTGCAGAATGAAACACTTGGAAAATTGTCAGGAAAATGCCTTCCTTATTTCCCTCTCTCTTTCCTCCTTCCTTTATTAAGAGCTTCTTACATGCCAAGCACTGAGCTAAATACTAGGCATACAAAGAAACATAAAACAGCCCCTGCCCTCAGTGACCTCACATTCTGTTGGCGGAGGTAACATGCAAATAACTGGGAACTGCATGATGTATAAAGAGAAGATGCTGGGCAGTGTGCAAAGGGGCCAGTTGGGAAAGGTATCATAGAGAAGCTGGGAGCTGAGTGGAATCTTTTTTTTTTTAATTTCGAACTTACTTAAACACCAAAAATGAACATGTCCACGGGAGAGTGAAGCCCAAAACGGGACTCTGTTTCCCATGACTTGATTGTGAAGAAAGGGCTTTCTAGAGCTCCACTTGTGAGGAGGGCTTTGGATTGTTCTCATTAGCTTCTCTGCATTCATCCCCAATGAGCTTGTGCCAGTGGGGAAGGCTTCTTACCTAGACTGACGACCCCTTCCATCCGCGTATGCAGGGCCTGCATTTTGGCAGTTGGGGTTAAGTGACTTGCCCAGGGTCACACAGCTAGTAAGTGTCAAGTGTTTGGTCTGAGGCCAGGTTTGAACTCAGGTCCTCCTGACTTCAGGGCCAGTGCTGTATCCACTGCACCACCTAGCTGCCCCCATTCACTTTTAAATTCATATTAAACTGTTAAGGCTTAGAACTGCTCTAAGACCTTGAGCAGACACTGGGTGAAGAGCCAACTGGGCCCAGAATTGAGTAGGAGGAGGAGATTGGAAATTTTGCAGTGCTTTTATACGGCCCCAAGCTTCTCCCTAAAAACAACTGTCTACCTTTTTATTTTTTCAGTTATGCTATACGGGCCTGAGTCCAGGAATACCAGTCTGTGAAGAATTCAAGTTGTCATTTACTCAAAGGGCAATGGAGAGGTACATGGTGGGCATGAGTATAGACTGTAATCTATGACCAGCAAAGAGATTCCCAGGAGAACCAGCATAAAGGATGTCATCAGGGAGCTGTACAGTGACAGAAGGAGGTAGGCTGTTTGGGTGATGATGTGAAGAATTGTTAACAGATCAAGAGAGGAGGCCCCCTGGCATGGGGGGCAAACCCCTCATGGAGGATTTAGAAGTTGAGTCTTGAGGAAAGATAATGACCTCATTGGGCAGAGATGAGGAGGGCGTGTAGGATAGCTGAGGTAAAAGCACTGATGTGGGAAGGGACATGATGAGATCTGTGTTTATCTGCATTGTAAAGGACAGGATGGCTTGATGGGTAGTAGTGTGAAATGAGGCTTAACAAGGTGGGTTGGAGCCAGGTTGTGGAAGCCCTAGAATGCCATACGAACAAGTTTGGATTTTATCCCAGAGGGGATATGGAGCCTCTGGACGTTTTTGCATAGGGGGAATGACATTGTCAGATTTGTGCATTAAGAAGCTTCACTTAGGAGACCCATTCAGCTGCTATCGCAGTCTAGGCAGGAGGTTGATAGCTGTTGGAGTGAGGGCTGGCATGGTGCTCTGGATGTTTTCCCTTGTCTCTTGTTTCTTCTCCACTAGGAGGAGTCCTGGTGTCCAGACCTGATGTGGTCTCCACTCTGGTTTGAGGGGAAATGCCTTATGTCCAGCACATACAGGGACCTGAGGATGGAGAATGCTAACAATGTAGGCCCTGCCCAGGTGAGTGAGGGAGGGAGCGAGGGCCACATGCCAGCACTCCTTTGTTGGAGAGCTACCAGTCAGGCGGATGCCCATTTGTGGTTCCATTTTCCTTTGCTCTTCCCTCCTTGCTTCCCAGGTTTTCACCCTGTGTCCAGATGGGGAATGCAGGACCCTGGAAGACAGCAGCCATGCCCCCAGTAGCCAAGTCCCAGGTAAGCTCTAGTTCCTTCTCTCTTTGGTCACCTCTTCTGCCTGGATGTCACTTCATCTTTCCTCACCATCCCCCAAAGGGATCATGGGAAGTCACATTGCTTTTTGGGGCCTTTGTTTCTGTGTCTGTAAAATGAAAATAGTCATATTTGAACTCTCCACCCTCCTAGGTGTTGTAAGGGTCCGCTGAGATAATGCCTTGAACCTGCTTTGTGAGTCTCACAGTGATTAATACATGGGTGTTTAATAATAATATTGATGGAAGTGAAATTTAAATTTGTTGGAAAGAGATATAGGCCCTTTGAAAAACAGGTGTCTGCCAGTGGGTACTTTATGTTTATACTTGTGTTGGTCCAAGACTCAGCTTATTTAGGGAAAGACTTTTTGTTAGCGTCTTGAGGGCAAGGTACAGGTAGGTACCAGTGTGTGTATTGGCTCCATAGTGCCTGGGAAAGGACACTGGTACACTTGAATGACCACCAGACTTGGAGTTGGGAGATCTGGCTTGTGGGCATGACTCTGCATGTACTGTATAACCTTGGCCCCCTCTGGCCTTGGATTTCTTTATGGTAAAATTTGTAAAGTGTTGACTCCGAGCACTATTCATATAATTAGCTGATTAAGACCTGAGATCTTTTCATCATCTAGTCCAGTCTTCCATTTTACCAATGTGGAAACTGAGGCCCAGATGATTTCGATGACTTTGAAGGTTCCACAGCTATTGGGTAGCAGAGTTGATATTTGAATCTAGTCCTCTGGCCTCTAATCCAGTGCTTTTCCCACATTAGGATATTGTCTGTCCTGTGCCATGTTGAGCCCCCAAATGAAATAATGTATGTGACGTGCTTAGAAATCTAAAAGCGTTATATAGAAGTGTGACCAATAATAAAAATAGGAAGGAGCAATCACATCAAAAGTATACTTTGGATCAAGGGATAAAGTCTTTTTTGGAAAACGGAGATTTATGAATTGTATTGTATGTTTTGCCCTGTGCTAAGATGGTAGCCCAGCTCTGTAACTTACTACCTGTGCAACCTTCATTTAACCTCTCTGGGACTCAGTTTACTCCTCTGTAAAATGAGGAGGTTGGTTGAGATAACCCCTGGGGATCCTTCCAGTTCTAAATCTCTGATCCTATGTATCATTCCATTTGCTTTTTTCTAAAAAATTTGGTATCTAAGACTTCTTTCACTTTGCTTATAAGAAGCCTTTCTGCTTAAATCTGTAGGGTAAGAATTGAAGGGGACCAACCACATGCCCTTGTAGGAAAGACTCAAGAATCCCAGTTAGGGCCGGCAGAGGAAAAAGACTTGTCTGAGGTCACAGGCCAGCAGGGCAGATTTTGAGTCAGAAGAACAGAGTTCAAGTCACTCAACCTCAATCCTCTGGGCCTCGGTTTCCCCCTTTGTGAAATGGAAGTAACATTGGTACTGCCTAGTTGTTGTGAGGGTCAAGTGACATAATGGAGGTAAAGTTCTTTGTAAATCATAAGGTATTATTTGATTTATAATAATTGTTATCATAGCCCTGATGAAGGAAAGGAACACCTTCGTATATTGCGCTAGCTATACAGCAAGGGGTGAAAGGTCCGAGAAAAATGTGTTGTTTGTAAACAGGTCACTCAGGGAAGTGGGTTGTAGTAGTCAGAGAGCTGGCCTCAAGGAAGCCAGGAAGACCTGGGTATACGTGCCATTTCTGCCCCAGGCTGGCTGTGTTACTCCGGGCGAGTCCCGCCACCTCTCAGTGCTCTGGGCAGCTCTCAAAGCCTGCAGATTGCAGAGATGGTGCTGGCCTGCATTGGTAGGAGGAAACTGGCCCCACTGAAGGCTAGTTTGAGATGATCCACATTTGATTCTGCCATGCTCTCTCCATCTGTGGCTTCGTTGGCACTGCTGGCAGATACCTGCTCTTGCTCTGACCCAGGATATAGTGACATTCTGTTTTATGCACATCCTGATTGTAGAAGTTTACCCCAGCCCTTCCTCTGGCTTCGTTCTTGACTCTTTCCCTTTCAGAAAGCCCTCATCCTTTCCTCTGGCTTCATGAAGAAGTAACTCATCCCATGAGCTTTTTGATGACCTCCTTTTCTGTGGTTTTCTGAAGCACTTCATTGACTTTAGGCCTAGGGGTGAGCTGCTCCATTTGGGCAGTTAGAGTATTTCTAGGCTTCTGCCTAGAAGCCAAGCCTGATCTGGGCAGAAGTAGAAATGGGCAGCTTTTTTTAGGTGTGGACACATTTCTCACTGTGTGAATTTGCAGTAGGGGAATCTGCCCAGTCTACCTCCTCCAGGGATGTTCCTGTCCCTGGTACTTCATGTTCTTAGCAGAGGCTGATCCTTACCCTCCTGTACCCAGGCTACTGACTTACCTTTATCAAACCCCATATGGGAGGGCACTTTGTTCTACTCCCTTCAGTGGCCTTTCTAATGTAATTTCCTTTTCTCCTTTGTATCCCTCATGCTGGCATACCAGGTGCTAGTACTGAATTCTGGGAGAACTCTGTATTTTTGGCCCAAACCATCGTTCCCCAGCTCCCTCTCTCGTTAGAAGGGTTTCCAGTTTCAAAACCTGACCTGGCCTCCCAGATGGATAGAGGTGAAAGGCTGTGCATCCAGAACCTTCAGGGAATGGAGGACAGAGAGGTCCTGAAAGGTGCTTATCCAGGTGAGTTGTGGGAATAACATCTAGGTATGAGGGGACTTAGGGAAGTAGGACCCCCCCCTTTTTTTAGTGAGGCAGCAGTAGTAAATTTTTTCATTTTTTTCCCCAGGTCTGCCCAATCCTGGGTGTCTTGGTGCCTGACAAAGAAGAAAATGCTTCCCTTCTTCTCCTCCCTTTGTGATTATATTTTTCCTCAAACCATTGCTTATGCCTCCAGCATCCCCCATGTGTAGTCTTTCATCCTCTCTCAACATTATAGACTCACAGACTGTAAAGTTGGAAGGGACCATGGAGATATCTGAATACAACTTCCTAATTTCCCAGAGGGGCCTTACCAAGTCACAAGATTGGAAAGGACCTCCAAGACAAGTCTGGTCCCACTCATACCAAGTCACATCAGCCCATTCTTCTCCTGTTACCTGCTTCTTTTCTGCTATTCTTATTCATTCCTGCCTTCTCTACTTTGGTCACCCCTTTTCTTCTCAAAAGGCTCTCCCTCATTCTCTTTGTTCATGTTGGTCTCTGTGTCAAGCGACTTCTCTCGTTTACTTCCTGTATTTTCCACTTCCCTACCTTCCTTCTGGTTTAAAAGGGCATTAGGTACACCTAGTAGTCACTTTGATTTGGATTATTCGATTTCCTCTTTCACATCAACAGATTTCTTTTACCCAGCAAGGGTGTCCATATTTTCTATTTCTCATTTCAGACTATGAGATGGAGACTGAAAACAAGGAGGTTATTCCAAAGCAGGAAATTTCTGAAGAAGATGAATTCAAGGGCATGTTGTGGGCAGGACTGCAAAGGACTGTTCCCCAGGAGCCTGAGCTTAAAGAAGCCTGTGACTCTAAGGACAATTTAGAGGAGCACAAGGGAAGGGTAGTGTGGATGAGACTGAGACAGTCTCCTCCTTCCCAAGGGGGTGTCCGTAAAGAAGAGGGAGGATGTGAATATACCAAGTGTGAAAAAAGCTGTGATTTGAGCTCAGCCCCTGTTACAAGTTGTATAGAAACTATAGGAGAAGGATCCCAGAGAAGTGATTTATATGATAAAAGCTTCGGACAGGATTCAGAGCCTCTAACCCATCAGAATGTTAATAATGAAAAAAAACCCTACGAATGTAGTGAATGTGACAAAGCCTTTAGCCGGCGTTCCTACTTTATTGAACATCAAAGGATTCATAGTGGTGAGAAGCCGTATGATTGTAGTGAATGTGGCAAAGCCTTCAGGTGGTATTCAGATGTTGTCTCACATCAGAGAATTCACCGTGGAGAGAAACCTTACCAATGTAATGATTGTGGCAAGGCATTCAGGAAGAGCTCAGATCTCATCCAACATCGGCGGGTTCATAGTGGGGAGAAGCCCTATGAATGTAGTCATTGTGGCAAAGTCTTTGGTCGAAGCTCCAGCCTTATTCGGCATCAAAGAATTCATAGTGGAGAGAAACCCTATGAATGTAGTGCTTGTGGGAAGGCATTCAGAGATATCTCTACTTTTATTAACCATCAGAAAATTCATAGTGGAGAGAAACCCTACGAATGTGATGAATGTGGCAAAGCCTTCAGTCGGAGCTCAAGCCTTATTGAACATCAGAGAATTCACAGTGGAGAGAAGCCCTATGAATGTAACGAATGTGGCAAAGCCTTCAGGTGGTGCTCAGACCTGGTTCCACATCTCAGAATTCATAGTGGGGAGAAACCTTTTGAATGTAATGAATGTAAGAAATCCTTTAGGAAGAGCTCAGATCTTATTTTGCATCAGAGGATTCATAGTGGAGAGAAGCCCTATGAATGTAATCAGTGTGGGAAGGCCTTTAGGAAGAGATCTGATCTAATTCAGCATCATAGAATTCATAGTGGAGAGAAACCTTTTAAATGTAATGAATGTGAGAAAGCTTTTAGGACACGGTCAGACCTCGTTCAGCATCTGAGAATTCATAGTGATGAGAAACCTTATGAATGTAATGAATGTGGGAAAGCCTTCAGGCAGAACTCAGACCTTATTCAGCACCAGAGAATTCATAGTGGAGAAAAGCCCTATGAGTGCAACAAATGTGAGAAGGTCTTCTGTCGAAATTCAAGTCTCATTCGACATCAGAGGACTCACAACAGAGATTAATTTTCAGGGTGTTACTATCCCCTGTCCATACTAGGGACTTAGAGGACAGGACTTCAGTCTGCATAACTTCCTTCTTGTAACAGATGATAAAGGTTGTTTGTGTGACTGATTGATCTATATTATAGAGTGAGGGAACAAGGTTGTCGAAAATTAATGTTTACTACGAGTTATCCTTGGCTTTATTAACTTTCAGAATGGCCTCTCAGGTCAGGGACCGAAATGGAAGAGGGTGAATGGACACCCCAAGGAATTTCCTACACTCATCACTTGTGCTGTCTGCTGTACCCAAAGGGTAAAGGGTATGGGGTGGGGGCATCTTCCTTTTAGGCCATGGCCTGTTCCTTAATCCTTTTCAGCACCTCTCTTCCATAATGACTTTTTTTTTTACAATTTGGCACATTTACAATACTGTCCTTAGCTATCTATTTAGAGCATGTGAATCTGTTTTTATTAGAGTATAAGGAGCACTGATCAGCCAGCCGTATGTGGGCAGGAGCCTGTGGAGTTCAGAGTCCAAACTCAAGGACAATTTCCTGCTCCCCATATAAGCAGAACTAATTTTCATAGATCCCCCAGTCCTTGAGGGAAATTAGAGCATTCTTTCGAACACCCTCCATCCCAACACATAGACACATAAACTTTCCGATTGAAATAACCCTACAATCAACTAACTGACCCCCTCTGTTCCCCACATCCAGAACTCTTTTCTAGGCATCCAGCCCAGCTTAATTTTTTGCTTTACTCTATCTTGGCTCCTCACTTTTGCATTAAATTAAATTTTGTGTATGATGGTGCATATCTGTGGAGATGGTGGTGGTGATGGGGACACACAATCTAGATTCATTTGGGTTAGGGAATTCTCACTGGGGAGAAGGAAGTAGAGCAGCTGGGGCTAAGGATGGGGAGAGCCCACTGAAAGGGGGTAGAGAGGATGACCAGAGCACAGTAGTGGGTAGGGAAGAGTGTCCCCAGCCAGCCTCTTTCCGCTCATCTGGGCCTGGAATGGGAAGCACCTCTCCTTAAGGCCTAACTGGTGCCACCTCCATGAAGCCTTCCCTTAGTGAGCTTTGCTTCAGATTCCTCCTAGCACTTTGCTTGCACTTCTCCTTTGCACTTGTTTCACTCCACCTTGTATGATTTTTGTGGTATTTGCGTCCTTATTGTGAACTCCTTGAGAGTAGGGTCCAAATCATGTATCTTTGTATTCTTGGTGCCAAGCACAGGGCCTTGCACATAGTAGGTGCTTAATTAGTGTTGGTTGATTTATTAAGAAAGGCAAGACTACTATTAAGTATGGGATAGAATCATGGAATTTTAAAGCTGGAAGGGACCTTAGAGATTACTTAATCACTTTATTTTATAGAGGTCAAAAGGAAGTGCAGGGTGTCCAAGTTCCAGGCTTCTGACCGAGCAGTGCTCATTAATAAAAAGAACAACTGGTGGAGTCAGGAAAAACCTGAAAAATCCTTCCCCTGCCACCTACTAGTTTGACTATGGATAAGTCACTTAATCTCTGAATCTCAGTTTCCTTATCTGCAACATGGTGGTAATACCTGTGGTCTTCACTGGGTTTTTTTAAGGATCAAATTAGATCATGTATTTGAAAAGAGCTATTATCACTGGGACTCAGGTGGCCTGGGACTCCGTTCAGTAATTGACTTAACCTGAGGCCTTGAGCAAATCTAACCCCCACCCCCTTAGTTTTGCCCTCTATAAAATGAAGGCTCTACAAGCTTAATTAGAGGAATTCTGATGCCGCCTGTGGAGCCTGGGCTGCCCGGGTATGTCAGAAAAGGCCACATGATGGCTGGATCTGGAAAGGGGTGTAGTGGAATGAGCCTTCCACAGAGAGTTGACACACCTGTGTTCAGGTGTGGCCTGAGCCACTTCCTAGCTTGTGGGAAAATCTCTTTGCCTCTCTGAGCCTCAGCTCCTTATCTGAGGATAACACTTGTACTACCCACCTCACAGGGTTGTTGTGAGGAAAATGTTTTGTAAGTAGTGGACTGCCATGTAAATGTGAGCTGTTAACTAATCTAAAGATTATCTTCTCCTTATTGGGGCCCCTTAAGGGATCTGCAAGTGGAGTGTTTTGAGTATACACTCCTTTGAAGAGGTGAACCAATTCCCCCCCACGCACACACACACACAAGCACAGAGCTGCCAGTTCTGACCAACGAGTTCACTCCAATACAGCCTTCTAGGGGAGCATGGACAGAATGTGGAGGAGGCCAGACGTGGACTCACCAGCACCAGACAGTGTGGTACCCACGGCTCATGTTACCATCTTAGGCGTAAGATTGCTTCCCACAAGCGAGTTGTTGTTTACCTCCACAGCTTCTGACTCCAAGATTTAAAATGTTCCTATGACAAAATCTAGGATTTAGATTTTTTGTTGTTTTTGTTTTTGGTGAGGCAATGGGGTTAAGTGACTTGCCCAGGGTCACACAGCAAGTAAGTGTCAAGTGTCTGAGGCCGGATTTGGATTTTTAAATTAATATTAAGAAAATGATGTATGCCTACTTGAGCTCCATCCACCTTTAAACCCTACAGAATCTGTGCTTCAGAATGCCTGGGGTCAAGCCCTAGCAGCTCTTTCATTACCATTGTCATTGTGACCTTGGGCAAGGCTGAGCCTCCGTTGAATTCCGAGGTTCCTAAACCCCTCTTTCCCTTACAGAATTAACTGTCTGTAAAATGAGGGAGTTGTATAACTTCGTCACTGTGGGTTCCTGTAATCGGAGGTGCGCTGGCCTCGAGCATCCCTAAAATAGTCCTCCAAGGAAGACAGTGGGCAGTACGCAAGCGCAGACTGCATTCAGGGGTGGGATGGGATGGGCGGGGCTGGTTCTTGAGCTCCAGCTCGGCGAGAACTATCGACTCCAATGGCCTCCGGGGCTTGCTAGAGCAGCCCACTTCCTCTCCACTTCCGGCAGCCAGGACCAAGCGTCGCGTGCTAGAAGGGCCTCGGGGGTGGCCATGCCAGAAAGAAAATCGAGCGAGTATTTGAGCTGGACCTGCAGAAACCGTAGCTGGCTTCCCGGAGGAGGAAGCATCTTCTGAGCATGGGTTGGGTGGATGGGGAAAGACTCCTGGAGGGAGAGACAGCATTTGAGCTGAGCCTTGTAGAGTGGTTCAGAGTGTGAGATACGTAGCCGACCTTTAGCCAGCTGCCTTCCCCACTGTAAAGGCACAGGCTGTCTAGGAATTAGGGCTGCAAGCAGTTCCGAGCTTTTGTTTGTTATTGTGCAGGATAGTACTGATCACCCAATGACTAAATCAGTTACTGAGCATCTCAAGGCCCTTACCGGTGCTAAACACAAGAGACAAGACAAAAATGAAACAGCCTTCTAGAATTCCCGGTGTCGTGGGAGGGGACACACGTTCACAAGTGAACACCGGCACACTGACGGTGGGAGGGGGCCCTTAGCAATCAACGGAATCAAGGAAGGTCTCTGGAGCTGAGCTGTACAGGGAGGGAGCCATCAGTTCTAGGAGGTCGAAGTGAGGAAGGAGAAACTTTCGGGCATGGCGTTCTCACCTGCGCCAAGATACCGAGGCCAAGATGGACTGTTGGGTACTGGAGAGGAGATGGGCGGGGTGGGGCTGGGTATTACATAGTGTAATCTGCCTGTAAAGCTAGGCTGGAGCCAGATTGGGAAGCTCTTTAAATGTCAAACAGGACTTTGTGTTATATGCTGAAGGCGATAAGGAGCCACTTAAGTTTATTGAGAAGGAAAATATGCCCGAAGATGATCCATTTGGCAGCTGTGGAGAGAGGAGGTCAGTAAGGGCAGGACATGGAGAGCGCTGATAACAGATCGTGGGAGAGCTCCTTAGGTTCATCCAACTGTCATGGTCACAGTGGTGGGGGTGGGAGAGGGGGCAGGATATGGATGATGAGCCTGCAAAAGAAACCATGGATGAGTGTTTCAGGATGAGAACAAGGACACATCATTTTCAGAATCCGAAAAGACAGTAGGCAACAGTGTTAAGGGCTGCAGAGAAGTCAAGAAGTAGGAAAACTGAGGTCATTGGTATGACGACAAAGAAGTCCTTCGTAGATGACCTTGCAGAAGTAGAATCAGGTGGTTTTTGTAAGCATCTGGGAAGGAGTTAATGTATTGGAGAGGTTGCAAATGAGAAAAAGGAAGGGGAAAATGAAAAGGGCAAGCTTCCAGAGGAGATGGGAGGGCAGTGAGATTTAAGGACACAAGTGGAGAGGTTAACATTAGTAAGAAGAAGGGCCCCTTCCAAATGTGGAGCCAAGGAGAGGATGGAGGATGATATGAAGGTGATTTGAAGAAGAGGGGGCTTGTCATGAATGGGCTCGGCTTTGCCAGTGAAGAATGAGGCCAGGTCCTCTTTTGATGAGGAAGAAGAGGGTAGTTTAGGTGGTTTGAGGAGAGGGAAGTTTGAAACAGATGCTGAAGGGAATACACTAAAGACAGTCAATCAGGAAGAATAACATCGATAACTCAGTTGGGAGTGGAGAATAGTTTCGAGTCAGCACAACTGTACAACTTTGGTCAGCAGTCTTGGGCAACCCATGAGTAGGCTCAAAGTAAGCAGAGGGTAGAAGTGCTGTTTCCAATACTCAACACACCATGTCTTGCCCCATGCTTTTGCTGTCTTCTCTGCCTCCATTCTCTCCCTCCCTCGCCTTCAGGGCTCAGCTCAAGGGCCACTTCCTTCAAGAAACTTTTCTAATTATTACCCTCCTACCTCCTACATCCATAAACAACTGTACTTCATACTTTATGGGTAACTCTCTTTTCATCCAAGTCACTGACAAAAACGTTCAACAGAACACAAGTGTTCCACTAGACAGCTTTCAGGTAGTATAATGATTCTTCTGTGTATATGCATGTATGTATACATATATGTATATATCTATGTATATATATATATGTGTGATATGTGTGTGTGTGTATATATATATATTTTTTTAATTTTTTTTCCTTCTCAACCTATTTCCCAGGTCAATTGCAGTTGCTTTTGATAAGAGGTAATTTATAGTTTATTCTATTTTTCAGTCTTTTGATTTTATTTTAATATTTCTGGTTGGCTCAAGGAATCACTCATTTCTCTTTGGTCCATTCTAATTTTCAGGGAGTCAGTTACTTGGGTAAGGTTTTTTACCCCTTGTACTAAGCTGTTAATTCTCCTAAGTCTAAGTCTCTAGTATGCTCAGTTCATTCCCCTAGAGGAGAGATCTCATTTTGTTTATGTTTTTTAAACTCTAGTTCCATTTCTTTCAGGAATTCTAGTTGAGCTTGTGGCAAGGTTAGGCTTTGTAGATGTTGTGCAGTTATTCTGTTCTTCAGAGTTTTTTGGCCATTCCTGGCTCCAGATGTCAACAAGCATTTATTAAGTGCCTACTATGTGCTAAGCATTGAGGATACAAAGAGAGGCAAAAACAGCCCTTTTGCTCAGGGAGCTCACAGTCTGATGGAGGAGACAACATACAGACAATTAGGTACAGACAAACTCTAGATGGAAGAAATTGGAAATAATCTCAGAACATGAAAGAAAATTGGCAAACTTTACATTAGCCATGGAGAAGACCAGGGAAGTCAGGATGTGGAGATGAGGAAGGAGAGAGGTCTAGGCACAGGTTTACAGCCAGGGAAATGCAGTCAGAAAATGAAGTGTCTTGTTTGAGGAACAGCAGGGGGACCAGTGTCACTGGATCATGGAGTACTTGGAAGGACGGAAAGTGTAAGAAGACTGGAATGCTAGGATGAGGCATAGGTGATGAAGGGCTTAAAAGTCAAATGGAGGATTTTATATTTGAGTCTGGAAGTGATAGAAAATTCTTGAGGTTTATTAAATAGAAGAGTGATACATCAGGCCTGTGCTTTAGGAAGATCACTTTGACAGCTGAGGGGAAAATGAATTGTAGTGGGGAGAGACTTGTGGCAGGCAAAACACCCACTGGGCTATTGTAATAGTCCAGGCATGAGGTGATAATGTCTTGCACCAAAGTGAGGGCAGGGTCAGAGGAGAGAAGAGGTTATAGATGAGAAATGTTATGAAGATAATAGTTGACAGGAATTGGCAATACGTTGAATATGGTGGGATGATGCAGGAGGAGTTGAACCTAAAGGACTGGAAGAGTGGGAGCATCCTCAGCAGCAGTAGGGAAGTTAGGACGAGGGGAAAGATAATTAATTCAATTTTGA